TTGACTGACTTTTTTCATCGTAATTGTACGTGTACGTCTCACGATTGTTACTTTTCTTTCATTCGGACTACACGTCTTGCAAATTCTTATTTTTTCCTCATAATTCTGGGTTTATGTCTCACAATTCGCACCTTTTTAATCAGAATTTTAAGTTTGCCTCGTATTTAAATTTTTTTCAGATTTGTTTTGTCTTGTGAGTTTTACTTTTTTCTTGTAATTTTGAGTTTACCTCTCGCAAATACATATTTTCTTTGTAATTCTCAGTTTACATTTAAAAATTTTGACTTTTTTTTAATTTGCAAGAGTTTACGTCTTGCAAATAAAGTTCCTCATAATTCTTAAATTACGTTTCGCAATTCTGACATTTTTTCCTTGTAAAAATGTACATCTCATGATTTTTTACTTTTTCCCTCGTAATTCTCAGTTTACATCCCGCCATTCTGACTTTTAATAGTAATTCTGAGTTTACGTCTCGCAAATAATATTTTTCGTGTAATTCTCGGTTTACGTCTCGTCATTCTGACTTTTCATCGTAATTCTGAGTTTACGTCTCGCAAATAATATTTTCCTCGTAATTCTCAATTCACGTCTCGCCATTCTAACTTTTAGTAGTAATTCTGAGTTTACGTCTCGCAAATAATATTTTCCTCGTAATTCTCAGTTTACGTCTCCTCATTCTGATTTTTTATAATTATTCTGTTTACATCTCGCAAATAATATTTTTCGCGTAATTCTCGGTTTACGTCTTGTCATTCTGACTTTTCATCGTAATTCTGAGTTTACGTCTCGTAAATAATATTTTCTTTGTAATTCTCAGTTCACGTCTCGCCATTCTAACTTTTACTAGTAATTCTGAGTTTACGTCTTGTGAGTGATATTTTCCTCGAATTTCTCAGTTTACGTTTCGCCATTCTGATTTTTCATAGTAATTCTGAGTTTACGTCTCGCAAATAATATTGTCCCTATAATTATCAGTTTACGTCTAGCCATTCTGACTTTTACTAGTAATTCTGAGTTTGTCTCGCAATTATTTTCCTCGAATTTCACAGTTTACGTCTCGCCATTCTGACCTTTTCTATAAATTCTGAGTTCACGTCTCATAAATATTATTTTCCTCGAATTTCTCCGTTTACGTCTCATGATTTTTGCTTTTCCTCCCAACACAATCTCATGGCAATTCATAACTTTTAGATTTAGTGGCTATTTTGTATGAATTCGTGTGATCTTATTCGTACGATTTAGTACAATTTGTTCACCTCCCAATGAAAGTTGTGTTTAGGGGTTAATATATTATTAGATAAATAATTAAATAAATAAAGGGACTAAGCCGAAAAGAAAATAATTGAATGAATGAACTATTTAATAGAAATATTTTTGCTATGCTTTCTAACATCCCTACCTTAAATAAATAGTGTTTATCGCCATTCACATGGACGGATCATTACTATTACCTTGCTGTACAACTACTATAGTAAGTAAGAACTACTTACATCAGCTAAATAAAAACGTAAAAATGGACCTAATATAAATGTAAACCTCATTCATTTATTTATTTATTCATTCATTCATTCATTTATTTAAACAGCTAAAATTAAATTGAAAAACAATTAAAGCATTACTATAACTACGTAATAGAAATATGCCATCAAAACTCAATTCATACACTGTAGAAAAATTATAAAGAACTGCAAAAAAGAGGATGAGCTGAATTTCATCACACAAAGTTGTTACAAAACACATTTTGACACACAGATGACTTTACAAAAATAAACGCTGATGCAAACCTGAAACTCCATCATTAAACCTTTAACAATCAAACAATAATCAACAAATTCTACTATTTAAACACATTTAAGCCATTAAATCTGGCATTTCTGCAGTGCTACAGTCTCCAAATACATTTCAGTAAACACACAGGATATCATAGTATTTAATACTAACAATAAAATGCAATACTTATTTGTAATGAATAATATATTATAATCTATTTTAATAACAACAATAATAGAAAATTATACATAATATTAATTATATAATAGATAGTAAACAAAGATATATGATTAATCATGGCTGATCTACTATCAAGAGATCTTTTTTGTCCATATTTATATTTATTTTTCCAACAAGCCAAGATACAAGCATATTAAAAACACCTCATATTTTTTAACCATCATTATCATTATTATTTTGTGCATCTTTGATCATTATAAAAGTAAATATGTCTTTTAATGCATACAGTTGAAGGCAAATTAATCAACTTCAATTTTTTTTTTTATAGTTTTTCCAGATTTTCACAGTATTGCGTATATATTTTGTTGTAATCTTATGTGACAAAAAAAAAGTAAAAATTGCTGTGGTCAATATTATTAGCCCCCCATTAAAAGTATTATTATGTTATAAATTTAAAAAATATTATATTAGGTATTTAAAATATAAATTATTATTATTTTTTATTATAGTCTGCAGAATAAACCACTGCTAATGACTTTGCTAATTAACCTAAATAGTTAAGCCTTTAAATGCGACTTTAAGCTGAGTACTAGTCTCTGGAAAAACACTAAAGAAATTAGCTATTGCCCCATATACAGGGAAATGTTTTGATATGCTGCTACCAAAACTATCATGCTTAAACAATATGTTTAGAATTCACACTGAAAATTAATACAATCTTTGAAAAATAACAAGTCAAATATCATATACTGTCATCAACGCAAAGATAAAAGAAATGAGTTATTAAAACCATCATGCTGATTAAAAATGTGTTAAAAAACATTAAAAATCACCCTAAGAATATTTGAAAGAATAACATTTGAACATACCATATATATATATATATATATATATATATATATATATATATATATATATATATATATATATATATATATATATATATATATATATATATATATATATATATATATATATATATATATATATATATATATATATATATATATATATATATATATATATATATATATATATATATATATATA